AGGAGCCAGGATGTCTTCATTTACATAATAGTGCATGCTTTAGATGAGGAGAATAGATATATGCATGTTTCTGTGAGACATAAAGGAATTAGTTTGGGGAGAGTATTGGTCATGTGGGATATCTCTTTAGTGCAAAATTTTTATTTGAAAAGAGCTTAAGAATGAAAATATTGTTATGATGCCTTTGCAAACCTGCATATTGCTACCATCCTTGGCACCTGCATTAGTGGGATTTGTGATTGCAGCTAGAAGGTTTTCACACACAAATATGCACTGCAGCAATCACATGCTGCCAGGGCAGAAGGAAATAATAATTTCACTTTATGTGTTCAGAATATGACATCGTGTATAAACATGCTATCTTAAACAAAAAGAGACACTGAAGAATTAGATATTCTGAAGTAGCAACAGGGATTTTACAAAACAACATCTGAGCTAGGGTGACGTTTCACCTCTCAGCATCCCGTTCCAGGAGTGGTATGTGGTGAGGACAGGGCTAAGATACAGCACAGCTGTTGAAGCTGCTGCTGAGGTTTCCTAATTTCTAGAAAATAGCTGCTAGAAGATTCAGCTATGCTTTCAAAACTCTATGACAAGCCTGTGTTCTCAATAAGGTGGCAGGAACTAAGTGTTACACTTCTCTAGCTGACTATGAAAAAATGACAGATACCTGATTCTCAAAGAAACGGAGTGATGTTATTGCTAAGTAATGGATTTTATGTGATACTACTAAAGAAAGTGATCATTTTGAGAGTATCGGTGACCGGTACCTGACATGTTGTTCTTCCTTCATGTGAATCGTATTGGTTATAAAATAGGATTTTTCTGCTAACTGGAAAGTTTATCACTTAACTGTTCGAGAGCCACCTTCTCCTCCTCGTGACCCTAAAGCATCCTCTTGGATGTCAGTAGGAGGCATTCAGCGCAGTGGGTGTTCTCATTACCACTTGACATTTTTGCTTTTTATTTTTCTGCCTGTTGCTATTTAATGATTTGAGTTCTTTTTTCACCAGTCCCAGAAGCCATTTAGCAAGCAACGTACTATTAGCACTACTTAAAAATATCGACATAGTCACTAGGAAAATAGTTTAATTTCCAAACAGTTCTACAGCATTCCCCCCTGCCATCTGCTCCTGCCATGTCCCTCACCATCGCGTTTGCCAGTTAACCCTTTGCTCTGGCCTCCTCGCCCAGCGCTCTTGGATGGGTGGCACAGGCTCTGCACAGCTTTGCCTGAACTGTAAAAACCCTCTGAGGCTAAAACAGACTGCAGGTTACTGTAATGGCAGAGGCGTGGGTGAAGTTTTTGGCTGATGTAAATTGTCATGTATTTGCTTTGTAGAGGCACAGACAGACACGGAGAGCAAGCACAGAAAGCGCTGCGGGCTTTCTGTCCTTAGTCTACTGTTTATCACAGGCACTTTGCAACTCCTGTTAGCGTCAGGGCTGGATATCTCACAGCCTTTAATGTAGTATCTCCAATAAGACCGCAGGGGGAAGATATTGTACCTTTTGGGAGAACAGTGATATCAAGACTGAGGGTGAGATTCATCTCATTGAAGTTAATCTACCAAAAAGATAGATTGCCAGTTAATATTAATCATTCATACTTCCATCTATCCAGTGGCGAAACAGGCATATCTCCCAGGGATGATTTACGTGACCCTAATCACTAGGCAACCCTGACTGTTAAGTGGCAGTAAGAGGCCAAATTGAGACGGATGCTCAGCTTTAGATGAGCTCAGGTCGAGGCTGGACAACTTAATGGTAGCAAAATTCTTTGGGAGTTATTAAATCCATAGCAGTAGCATTTGGCTTGCTGAAAACAGTTGGAGGCTGTGAGTTGCTAAGGGGTAGAATCCGATATGATTGTCTTGTTGTGCTCTTACTCTTTCCTAAGCATCTATTTATGGCCACTGCTGGAGCTAACACACAAGGGAGATGGACTTTCTGTCTGAGAACATGTGGCCAGTCCCCTGCTGTTATGTGAGGCCATTTTAGCAGTGAGAAGGAGGCGAATACGCATTTAGCAAGAGACTATTTCTGCAAACGGGAAATTGGTATTAAGATTTAATTCTGGATCTGTGGTGAAGTGCTACTGACCTACAAACAGAAAAACTGGAAGTCAGTTTTGCAGAAAGGGCCTGTGCCAGGTGCTGAATGTCAGTGCTTTGTATCAGGTCAACGCAAGCCTTTTGGAGATTCGGATGAGCTGTTTCACCATGTGTTCCCCTCAGATAGTGCAAACAGTTTGTCTGAGCCTTAGATGGTACAAGGAGATTCAGATCTGACATGGTTCGCAGTGTGGTGTGTAGCTGTGCTGCTAAGTGAATGCTCCCTGGCTCTGTGACAGCACCAGGTGGACTTACAGGGGGGCAGCTTGTCACTTCAAATAACTCACTGAGGGCACAGACTGCGTGGCCCAAAACAGGTGTCACTCACCAGAACCATGCTCATGACCTCCCACTGCCTTGGGCACATACAAATGTGTGTGTACCTCTATATTTTGGATGGTTGTTCCAGTTGAAAGATTTGCAGAGTTGATGATCCTAAATGCTAATACCCTTTAAAATGGTTTGCTAAGAAGGCAAACACCTTAGATTGAGCATTTTGCTGCCAGTATGGTAAATATATGCTGGCATTTGCTGCAAAGATCTTTAACTAGTGTCTCCGTAGCTGTTAAATGGCAGCATCACTACATAAGTACACTTAAGTTTGAAGTCAGAATTGCCTTTTATGGCAATCTCTACACAACAAGAAATCCCGATTCAACTGAGCAATGTTTTCCTTATCAAATCCCAAGACATAAAAAGGCTGGTGGCATTGGATTCAAAGCATCAAGCAGGGCTGCTTGTGGAATGGAAGCTTTTGCTCTCTTTAACACACACTGTGTTGAAACTGGCAGCAAAAATCTTTGATGCAGGAAGAATGTATCAAACTTGACTTTTGCAATTTCCTGTTTGGTTTCTTGAAAACTGCTTTTGTCTAATCATATTTGATCTCCAAGATAATTTTATTTAATGTGGTTTAGGAAGTATGACATATCCATTGTGGTCCTTCATCATTCTCTGTTTCATTTTGAATGTGACATGCTATTTTCTAGTACAAATGAAATTTGTTCAGCAGTCAGTTTTGAAAGAGAGTCCGTCTTCTATAGCTCTGTAAAATGTTATGTTATGGATAGCAAGCGAAAAAAGTTACTTTATCCTCAAGCTTCTCAAATTCTTCACTCTAGTTTGTCGATTACAGCCACCACTGTGGAGAGGAGGGTTGGTTTATCCTCCGATCCAGTCCTGTTTAGCAGCCTTCATAGCACAGCTGCACACAGCTGGGAGGTGCAGAGCTTGGTACCAAAGGGAGAGGTTACTGACAGAGTCAAAATGTGATGTGGGAGTTGAAGGACAAGGTGTTAAGAGATTGATTTTTCAGCCCAGTGAGTACTGGAGACGGTAATTTAGGGCTGATGGTATAGCAGCCTCTTGTAATGTGGCTGGACGAAGACAAGGCTGGTTCCTCTGTTATCCATAGGCCATGGTGACTTCAACAGCACTCTTGAAGTTGTAATAGTACTACTAGTATAACAGTGGGAAGGACTTTTATTTTGTTGTTACAGAGCCAGAGGGTTTCAGCCGTAGAAGAAAGCCTTATTAAGAAAGGCTAAGAATAATAATGCCAGAAACCCAAAAGCACTTACAAGTAGGTTGCAAAAACAGGCGATTGTAATTGCCTCTAAAGGTTAGAAGGTGACAGCAGCAGCGTGGTTGGTGTTGCAACGTGGGTGTTTCTTTAAGGAGAGAATACCCAGACTTTTTTCAGCTTTCCTTGAAGCACTGGGGTTCTACTAGATCTGAAGGGAGAGTGTGGGAAGGATGCATTGATGTCTAGCTTTTACTCATCGCTCGAGATCAAATCAGTCATCAACACCATGATAGAATTTTTCCCTTCTGGTCAGGCTGGCAAGGAGATTTGGACATACAGCTCTGTTTTGGTTTATTGTTTTTTGGGTTTTGGTTTTTTTTTTTTTTTTTTTTTTTAACTCCGTAAAGCCATGCATTTGGCCTACATACTTACTACAATCCTCTGGGACTTTCAGTTGCTTTTCTGCAGGGACTTGGGGCTTTGCGATACCCACACTGCTTGTGCTCTTCCTGCAGGACATAGCAGTTGCAGCTCGTGAGGCTGCTGAGCAGATGTTTGGCTTTTTACAGGAGATTCAGAAGCATGTCCCTTAAGCATTTATAGATATGTGAAGCAGATGTTCTGCAGCTTTTTCTGAAATAATGTACTCTACTTCCATAAGACTGTAGAGCCTGCCCTTGGTGATCCAGGGGGGACTCTTCCAGATCTGCATCCCCGAACATACAAGGGGCAAGGATGGAAGCAAAAAGCTGTTCTGTGAACCTTTTTTTAGTAGTAGACGGTCTTAGCACTGCAGTAGGTATCCTTCTCTTGCCTGAATGAGGAATCCGTACATTTGTAGAAGGCTGTAATTTTACACCTCTATGTAAAGGGTAAAATAGTTGTTGAATCATGAATATGTGATCTCTACATAAATCAAGGGTTCACTTCTGAGTGACACATAAAAGAACAAATTCTCTGCATCACATCCTCGCTGTGCTTGCTCGATGCCTTATGGCAGTATGCTGGTAGTCACAAAATGTTGCTGTAAACTTATATTTTGGTATGTGAGTGCTTTGTGGATAGCTGTATCTCTTCTTTCTAAATGTATATAATTACTTAGGTTGACTTGGAGCCTGTATGCTGTTACGTATAGTCCATGTAATAAACCTAGGTTTTCTGCAATAATACCTATTCAAACAGAAATGGAAGAAATATTGTAAAGTGTGTGCCTGCGGTATTCCTGTCAGGTAAGCACCACATAAATGAAATCTCAGGAATTTTGCAGGTTTGGTAGTGGTTCGTCTTTTGTAATGACTTTGAGACAAAGCAAATACAGATATTGGCCGTCGAATCTAACTTTGCCATATCTTTCATCACAGCTTCCGGTTATGGGAGGAGCCTTTATGGACTCACCCAACGAGGACTTTAGTACAGAGTACTCCTTGTTTAATTCATCAGCCAACGTCCATGCAGCTTCTTCCATGCAGAATCCACCAGAAGAGACGTCCCGTTCTTCAAATGATGCCATATTGTTATGGATTGCAATAATAGCAACAATTGGAAATATTGTGGTTGTGGGAGTGGTGTATGCCTTCACCTTCTAGGATGACTGTCCCTACAAACACTGGAAGAGAGGATAACTGCAACAGTATTTGTCATGTGTATGTATGTGTGTATATATACATGTATATCTATATAAATACATATAGGTAGGGACTTTGTTGATTAAGTGCTGCCACCATCATGGAAATTAAATGCAAGTTAATCATCTTGAAACTTGATGGCAGAAAGTTTGGATGCAATTGCAAATTGTATGGAGGTGAGTTTTAGCTGAGAACAGAGCCAATACTAGTTTTGTATAGAAATGTAATAAAAGAGAGACCAACGTGGGTATAGTAAATACAAAGAGAAAGTGAGATTTATATGGAAAGTTCTTATTTTCTACTGTTTAGATTTTTCTAGCAGCTCTTCTGCATTTTATCAGCTTTTCTGTGCATTTTTTACTGTGCTATAGTGTTGTATGAAATTGTTCTATGTCATGTTTGCTGCACGTCTTAATTTTCCAGATGGACTAAGTGGTTAACACTGGCTCAGTTTTGATGAAGTGCGAGTTCATCGTGTGTGAGTCTTCAGCACGTGTTCAAAATCAGGAGTCTTCAAGCTATAACAGGCAGATCCATCCTATCTCACACCTGGCTTCCAGTATTAATTGCTGGATCTGATAGTCTATGAATTGCTGCTAAACCTGTCTGCCGTTTGCAGGAGGAGGCACAGCTATAGCAAGGTGTGGCTGGTCTACACGCCTTCTGCATTCCAGAGGAGGACATATTAAACAGCAGCAGCACAGACTCCCATTCCTGTCCATAGGTGCTGGATTGCAGTGGTTTGTAGACGTGTCTCTTCCAGGAAACAAAGGCCAAATGCCATGCTTTGCAGGTCATTTAGCTGCAATCCAGATTTCCCACAGCAGCCATGTACTTTCATAAGCTTATTGGTGTATCAAAAGAATGTGGGGAAGTTGTGAAGCCTAATTAACAGGGAATGATATCTATGAGAAGAATAGAATTGAAAGATTGAACACTTCTGTGCTCGTGAGGGAGTGAGTGCAAGAGTCAGGTATGTCCTGGGGTAGAGACGGCACAAAAAAGGTAGTAAGTGACACATATGCAAGTGCTTACATTTCAGTATTATTACGTCTCTGCATTCTGATGAGGCTCCTGGAAGTGATTTTTATAGAGCCTGCTTTAGGTGCCAACTCTGATGATCACTTGGGTATGTTCTGTTGAGGTACAACATTTTCACTGCACTGTTCCCATGAGCAGTTCCTTTTCAAGAGCTGTATCTTTTAAAAATAACTGTAGCCTTCCTTGCTTCAGAGGTTATAAAATCACGAGGGAAGGGGAAAAAAAAACATCACCTCTGTTGTAAATCTCCCTCTTCCTCCTTAAAAAATAAACACAAATATATATAATGTCTGCATTTTGAGAGCAGCAGGCAAACTCTCTATGTCTGCATGTACTGTACAGGTTTTCTGTCTCATACAGCTACTACCCTAATTCCAGAAAGCCTTAGCTGCAGGCACAGAGACTATTTTTGACACTTGCCTGCCACTGAGCTTGAGGCTGGACTAAGAGCTACTGAACGTACAGAGAGGTTTGGATTTTCTTCTTTTCTCTTTAAACCCATTTTCCTGCAGAGGTGGTAGGCAGTTATTTGAATCAGAACAGCATACCCCAAATCAGTATTTATAACCACACAGTAGTCACTGAGGTTTGTTTTTTTTTTTTTTTTCCCTCTCTATGAACTGGCCTTTAAAGCTGGGAAAGATGCAAACAGAGCTATCAGGGGGGAGAAAAGAAACTTAGTTATTCTGAGGATGAGAAAAACAACGACAACTCACTTGAGGAACTGAGCTTCTGCATGTGAAGTTATTTCCCTGCTGGGGGAAGGATTTTGTGAAGGTGGTTGAGGGCAGATGAGATCTGTGCTGGGAAAAAGTTTGAAAAGCCCAGTTCTGGAAGATCAGCGGGACAGAAAGCAAATTCTGTCTAATAAAATAGCTGTAGTTTTAAGAATGATACAAAAATGATGATTTTTCACTGTCCTGAAATAGCTATTCATTCCTTCATAGGCAGAGGATAATAAAAAAAGGGGGAGCTGCAAAAATTGTGTGCTTTTCCTGTTCTTTCCTCCTTATTCTGAGCAGAAAGCAAACTGTTACGTGAGGTTGGAAAGCTGCAGAGAAGTTCCCAGTGCAGAATTGAGCAGGACAAGGTCTTGTGTACAAACACGTAGGACCCATGGAAATGCTGCTTAAGGTAATGTACTGTCCCCAAATGTTTCCTGATATTCTGTTACCTTTGTAATTGCATCAATTACTCATGGACTTTTATTCAGTGTGTCTGTAGGCTCTCTAGTTAGGCCAGATCTTGCAAGCACTGGTTCTGCATGAAGAGCAAAACATTTCCACCATAATTAAAACCAGTTTGACACTAGGGTACTTGCCCATTAGTGCTTAATGAATTTGCCAGTGGAGTGCTTTGTTTAAATTTCCTAGAATATTAATCTTAGTGCAATTAAAAATGTTTGCATGTCTCTCCAAAAGCACTGGGCTAAATTCTTCACCCATGAAAAACATTATTAGAGCAGGAACAGCAGAGAACCACCACCCTGCTAATGAAACCGAGAGTGACACTTTTGTGTTGCTTTTCCCAAAGAAAGTGCCCTACTTTCATGTGAAATTGATAGCAATAGCAGGAGCGTTGGAAAACAGTGAGTTCTGCCTCTCTCATCCAGAACATTGTCATACATATTTTCATTGTTAGAGGCTGAGTTGTCAAGAAAGGCCAGACAGTACTTTAATTAAAGTAACTGGCTTGACAGGGTGACATGGCAAGCTGGGTGCAGGCATCTCCTCTCTCAGTTAAACTGCACACTAACTGTGCAGCTTTTCTGTGGAGAAAAAGTAGCTTTAGGATGCAGGTGCAGGGATGCAGCGTGCGAGAGGCTGTACAGAATGCTGTCAGGTGTATTAAAGATCCCTAAATTGCAGCAGAAAGAGCTGGTTTAAACTCTGATCTGCTTTGACAGTGATAGCATGTACAGTATGTTTCTGGATGTTGCGGTCTGGCTTCATCCACTCCAACCACTTCCATCTTCTGGGAGGTTAAGAAAAGTTTAAATTCAGCCATTGAAAATGGGGACTCATCCATTGCTAAGTACAGAGAAGCCACAGAGGGGAGTGAAGTGGATGAACAGCGGATGTTTCATAGGTATGGTCCTGTGAATTATAAAATCACAGAATGGTTTGGGTTGGAAGGGACCTTAAAGATCATCTAGTTCCAACCCCCCTGCCCCGGGCAGGGCCCCCTTCCCCCAGCCCAGGGGGCTCCCAGCCCCGTCCAACCTGGCCTTGAACCCTTCCAGGGAGGGGGCAGCCACAGCTTCTCTAAGAAATATGTTCCAGCACCTCAGCACCCTGACAGGAAAGACTTCCTTCCTTGTATCTAATCTAAATCTACCCTCTTGCAGTTTAAAACCATTACCCCTCATCCTATCACCAACACTTGCTGACAAAGAGTCCCTCCCCACCTTTCCTGTCCCTCCTTTAAGTACTGGAAGGCCTCTATAAGGTCTCCCCGGAGCCTTCTCTTCTCCAGGCTGAAGAACCCCAACTCTCTCAGCCTGGCCTCCTAAGGGAGGTGCTCCAGCCCCCTCATCAGCTTCGTGGCCCTCATCTGCTCAAGCAGGCCCATGTCTTTATTACGCTGGGGGCCCCAGAGCTTGGCACAGACTCACCAGAGCAGAGTAGCAGCAGAGAATCACTTCCCTGGACCTGCTGGCCACGCTTGTCTTGGTGTAGCCCAAGGTATGGTTGAAACCTGCAAATGTGTTACCACTCCTTTATGTGGGTATATGTTATAACTGTCAACACAGCTTGACTCGGAGCATTAGCTTCTCCTTTCCTTGGAGCCAGGCGGTTGGATAACTGCTGTCACTCGCTGGGGGGGTGACAGGGAAGCCCAAACACATTCCCCGGAGCTGTGCTCTGAAGCTCTTCTGTAAAAGCAGACGCGGGCTCTGCTTTGCTGAGAACTTTCTGTATCAGCATGAGAGCAGGATTCCACTTCCAGAAGATCCGTGCTTTATATAAAAGCATCTAGCACAGAAGTTACTAGATCCTGCTGGAGTTTGCTCTGTAGTAGACAACCCAAAACACTTTCTCTATGCAGTGTTAGACCCCTAGCTATGGTGTAAAAGTCATTGTGCAAACACAAGATGCAATACTGTATGTGCTCTGCAAAGTTAGTAATGAGCCATGGGAAGCAGGTAGACAAACTGGATGCCCTAACACATCTCATCTAGCCACGGCCTCTAGGGATCGATAGCAACATATCAAATAATTGAACTGTCTCTTAAGATTTTTATTGCTCTAAGCAGCCAGCAGCTTGACACAGCAGCGGTGCAGCCACCACAGCAAAGAGACTAAAGGCTGAACAGTTACGAAGGTGGGTGAAAAGGCACATTAGATAGGAGGACAGGGTAGGGAAACCCACACAGCTTCTCCTGTTATATTTTTATCTGCAGGGCTAGGAGTCTGGGTTTGTCCACAGCATTAACATCCTCCTAAAATAAAATGAGGAGGATGTATTTCAGTGTCAACACACTTGCAAAATAGAACCAAAAGATTTTTAAACTGATGCAACAACAGTAACAAAGAGACTCGTTTGCTACAAATAATGTATTTAGCCATCTGAGTGGGCAAGTGAGCTGATAGATACCTTAGAAGTAATGAGACCCACTCTCCAAAATCCTTGTTTGCAGTAGGACCTGAGGGCGATCATCATCCCACCAAACTGATGAGCAGCCTGTAATAACAAGTCCCAAATCAAGAGTGAATAAAAGCAGCCAGCCATTATAGTCTTATCCTGTACATCCATTTGAAGATAAAGGGAAAATCTGCCTTAGTGTCTGCGACCAAACAAAGCCAGGAATCCTTAGCCTATAAATTGTTAGGTATTTTGTCTATTAGAAGCTTTTGTTTTCCTCTTCTCACACAATTCCAGTTGTTAATACCCTCTTCACATTTCTCTGCAGGCTGTTGAGAGTTACTAATTTTGCACAGCTCTGTTCTTTAATCCGATGTAATTTTACTGGGTTTCCTGTGTCTAATTGCAGAGCAGTATGTGGAAAACTATTCTTTTTAAGGACAATTTCCATAAAACTATTATTTTTAAGGATGATTTCCATAAAACTATTCTTTTTAAGGACGATTTCCATTATTGAGAGAAATAGGCCAAAAATCAGAATCCCAGATCAAAATGTTTCTCTGCTTTTGGAGCATTCGGAGCTCTGGAGAATTGGATTTCATCTGGTTAATGTGCAGAAAAGAAAAGGGCAGTCAGGTCCCTGGTGATAATGTCAGACATCAGGGTTTTGACAGGCAGAGCTGAGCGCTTCATTAACTCCTGCTCTGCCCCTCTGAGCCCTGCCTGCTTCCTGGGCACGCAGCCTGAGCAGAGTTTAAGTGAACTAGCCAGCAGCTACAGCACATCCCTCCTCATCTTACATCTCTCTAATCCTCAGTGAAACGAGTGCATTTGTTCCATTTGCAGAAGAAGAGCCAGAGATCAATGTTCTGCTAGATATACTGGTACCGATAGATTGGTCTGCCACCCATAAGGTAAAGATAGGGATGTTTTAACATGTAGTTAGCGCTTTGTCACTATCTGGGAACACCCTAAAGAAATCAAAGCATCCCGAGGCCTTAACATCTCCTACCACCCTTGATCTGACAGTAACTTTTTGTGTTTTCTCATACAACCCCTCTTTGCCTTTTATCTTGTCTGTCCAACTCAGGACAGTGAAACTGAAGTAATCACGATGTTCTCTGGACACGTAGGGAACTCCTAACAAGTAGGGACCAACCACGTCCCATTTTACCTTTTGCCTCTTCAGGCACAAAGGAAGAAGGAAGTGTCTAATTGTCTACCCAGGAGACTCCAGAGGAATATGTGCCTCTGCAGAGCAAAATGCATGGCAATTTTATTTCATCCTGGCCTGTGCCAGAGTATTTACAATGAGGCAACATGACCAGACCTGCTTTTGCAGTAAGCTGTTTTGGGAATTACAAGCAGCACAGCCAGGAACTGGAAGAGAAAACAACCCTGATTGATAACACAAACCTGTCATGTATCTAATAATCTCAATAACGTGCCTCTGAAGACGGAATGCCTGAGTTTTGTAGGCAGACTTGATCTATTGGTACTACGGCAAATGCCCTTTTATACGAGCATAAATGGTGTCTCCATCTTTTTGGGAAGTCTTGGGAGCATTGTGCCAGCTGTTCTACCTTTCCTATGCAGGCTGCTAGTGATAGTATTTTTCAATTGTAGTAAATACTCTTTTCCCATGTTGGTAGAATACATGCAAGATTTACCTTGGAAAGCTCTGCTTAGTCATCCTGCAAAAGCCAAAAACATCTAGGTTTCTTAAGGATGGAATATTAATGAGTCAAACATCATCTGTACGGTAGCATCACCTCATTTTAATCTACAGCTTTATGCTAGTAGGTCTCAAAGGGGATCTCACTATTACACAGACTTCAAAAAGGCTGAGAACTGAGACAAGTCACTTCTCAACAATGTCTCAAAAAGTCACTACCCGATCCTTTCAGCTGCATCATTCCTCCTGATGTAAACTCTCATCCATCCCTTTAAACCCCTTGTCACCACCACATGTTTCTTTGCCTTCCTTTCAGTTCTCCCCTTGTCTTCTCTATATTGTTTTCATTCCCTGGTATCAGAGCACGAGAGCGTGTGGAAGCCAGCCGTGTTCTTCAGCCCTTCTTAACCACCTCACTGACTGGTCTTCACTGACAGTAAGGTCAGTGATATGTAAGGACTTACCACAGTAAGCGTAAAGATCACTGATATAAGGTCTCTTCCTGTAGGAAGATCTTACCTGGCTTAGCAAACAGCAACGTGTCTCCCCCAGGCAGAAGAGTAAGATGTGGCCATGAAGCTTGGTAACTGTATTCTCAGCATCCATGCAACCCAAAGCTCCTTTTAGAAATGCAGGTTTTATAAATATACTGCACTGTTCTGCAGTCAGCATTTACTGAACTTTCTTCAACCCAAACTCCCTTGTTTCTCTCAGCAAATCAG